GCAGAACAGACGGCTGTTGTGTGTGGGTACGTGTTTTCTTCACACAGTGAACACAGCCTCTGCAGCCTCCCCCACCACACCATAGGATCACTATCACATAGCATCACCGCATAGCACCATCATGCAACAGACCACCCCCACACAGCCCAGCACCAGATCTACCATGCAGCATACCACCAACAACACACAGTCCCACAACACAGCACCACATAGCACACCATTTAAACAACTTGTGTCTACATCCGCATCACGGCCAATCAGAATGTACCAATTCCTGAGGACTTTCAGAACCTCAAAATGCCTAACGTTCTGCAACCCACTTTGAGACTGAGCACACATTCTCACAACGTCCACACTCAAACCTAAGGCTCAGTGTAGAGCAACCTGGGACAATGCCAATGTCCCGAATGAACTTAATTGCCAGTCCCACAGAAAAACCGAACTACATTCATCTTTCCCACAAGCAATGATCTGTGTTGAACCACATCAGAACATCATACGACAGATTTGGCTATCTTTTACACTGGTGGACAATTAAGAATAGCCCACAGTGTGACTGGGGTCACCAGTCTCAAGCCATGTACTCGAAAGTAACTGCACTGCTCGCTTCAAACTTTTGCTGGCAGAATTTCAGATATTCACTTGGCTACTCCGGAAGCCGCCCACTGGATCACTCACCAACTTCGACATGAACATAGACAAGTTGCTGATCGACTCCAAAAACGTACGAAGATCACCATTCACAAGCCACTAAGTAACACCACCACACAGCCAGGCACCACTGACATACAGCACCGCCCACACCACACCACCACATAGCCGGGTACCACCAGACATTACACCACTAACAGTACAGTAGCTGAATACATACCCATCTAAAGCAAGTCACACAACTCCCTCTCCCTGTCTCCCCATGTCAGCCAGTCTTCTTAGCTCACAAATAAAGCGATATGTGCATTGGGTAACAGACACAGCAGGGGCTCCTGCTTGGGAGATGCTGATCTGTCAGACACACGACTCTGCCATCGATCAAACAATCCAGACAGCTCTCATCTTCTAGAAACATATGCTGTGTCCTAAGCTGTCAAAATACAAGTTTTAAGGTTCGTTATAATATGAAAATACCAACAAATTTTGGTCAGGCATACTGGTATCACATTCTCTTGATTAGCACGGTTGGCTACGTACAGTGCGAAAGAAGTTCAACAACATACATGCATACATAGGTGGCTGGATGGCTGAAATGTCAGAGTATTGAGTTAACATGACTGAGATCTTGGATTTGAATGCAGGAAGTTGCCTGTGATTAAACCGGGTCCACAAATGTTGTGAGTTGATGGTGTCAGCCTTGCCACCAATTATTGCACGCAAAATTATTATCGTATTGAATTTGGTTATGCATTCAATCTGGATAAATGTCAGGTCTGAGAAATTTTTAAAAACGTTAGCTTGGCTGTCATGCGACAAACATTACCTTCAGTGGCAGAGTGAGTGAGAAAGTGGACAAGAATTGAGTGGACTAATGGTCACTTTTAGGGATTTCAGACATAACTCTGTGGTATCTGCTTCAGTGGGCCATTTTCTAGCACTATTATGTGCACTGCTCTTGAGAGATCCAAATGGAATCTGTCTCATGATACGACGCCAATAGAGTTACGTCATGAGGAAGCAGTCATGGATGACATCAGTAGAGTACTATAATGACGTGCCTGACAGTAATGTTCAAAAGCATTATTTTCAATAAAGCTTGAAAGGTAAGACAGCCTAGGACACAGCATTAGAGATAGTCAGTTTTTTGGGCTGCATTTTTTTTATAATACTGAAGGCTACCAGAGTTACACCAAAGCAGCACCATCTGTGCATGGGATAACAAAAAAATAAATACAAGACAAGATCAGAGCACAGTCCTCCACAGAGGCTACCAGCCACAGGACACTCGTCAGCGCGTGTCAGCAGGTGATTGCCACAATCGTTAAATGTGAATGTGGGCGCCGTGCTGAGAAGGAATTAGAGCTTCACGCCACGAGCACGACGCACGCCGCCCCTTTGATTAGTAACACGGAGAGTGGCACATCCAGCCGTGCCAGCATCTCACTGCCCCACCACTGGATTCATCTCAGAGATTACATGACAAACATTTATAGGGCAGTGCAGGCAATGAACAATGATGACTGTGGAGTTTACACAACAAACACTTCAAACAGCATATGACCAAATCACCCATAATGAGCCCGATAACGTTAGGTCTCACCAGCTAAACAGACTGAATAATGCTTGGATGGGTGGCTTGCCACCATACACAAACGAGCTGTAAGGCTATGTTGCCGGTAGTGCAGTCAAATATGTTGTACTTTACTGCTACTCACCTCTCACGTCTTATGTTCCCAGCCTTCACCAACCCCCACTAACCAGCGTGGTGAGGCTTGGTCAAATAACTCCCACGACTCACACAGCGTGAGAAATCCTTCATCTAAAAGTGGATTGACAAAAGAACTGTATATGTGCAACAATCCTCAAGTCAGAGGTACACAAGGGAAAAGTGGGCGGTGAGTCTGCTGCACAATGAATGAGCCAAACACAAACCGAGCTCTATCCTGGTTATACCAAATGTTAACGTACGTACAGTACATTATGTATGTATGACTGACCTAGACCTTACGGTGCATTGGGAAACCCAGTTGACCTTAAACGAACAAAGCATGTGACTCGTGAGCAGCTCGCGCCACAGCAAACAAGACAGCGCAGCCCTGGAACGTGCTGGGTGGCACGAGGTGAGTCCGGTTGAGCGAATATTTCAGCACGCTATGTAAATATACAAAACAAAAAATGTCCACGCAGGACGGTCTCTGTTGTCTGCAATTGCAGGAGGCAAAACTGCTGCTCACTTCAGCGGGCAGTTGCCCCATACTCTGCTCTCTGTGTGGCACAGACAGCTACGACCATAAGCAAAACAGAGGATCTTAACTGCGGCCCTCAACCCAACTACTGTGTGGCTTGCAACGCCGGCCAGTCTCCTTCAATTCCAAGTGAACCAAGCAATGATAGCACCACAAACAGCTACAGAGGCAGAAGTAGAAAACATGCAAGGGAAGGCTTTGTGAAGCCACATTAATACACAACTTGGCACCCATCTTCCCACATCTCTGGGAGTGGGCGCAGATCTGCGAGATACAACCAACCACATTGGGGTTTGCACTGTCACTCAATGATCTACTCGTACAATTCTCGACTGAAAACTATATTCTTTCAAACTGCTTTTTGTGTTTAGTTTGTTGTCCGTCCTCCGCACCTCCGATTAGCACGGTTGGCTACGTATGGTGCGAAAGAAGTTCAACATACAAATGCCTGGGAAGCTTACGGGAAGTCTTCCTGTTTCTGTGAAACGCATGACGAGAGGGGAGCAAGTAAATAGAGCATGTTTGAGTAGCCATGTCCTGCTTAGGGTGGTCAGGCGTGTAAACCAACAGTCACATGCACGTCTTGCTGCGTGCGTTAGCCGGTTCATTAGCTGGTGCTAATGCACACCGGAAGGCGAGGAAATCACACTCACTGTACACATTACCTGCCAATGTGCATACGTATGTCCAGCACAATCATAATGCAAAAACTAATGCTAACTTGGACTGAATAAGAAACTCAGCGATAACTTAAAATTGCTTGTAACCACTGCAGCAGTAAGTCATGCAACTAAAAGCATGATTCAGGGCAAATTATGGAAAGAGATGTGCACGTTGAATAAAACGCTATAACGCACAGCCCAGCGCTGCCAGCTTCTACATATTTAACTCCTTCGAGGGTTCAATTTCACATCCAGAAGTTGGGGAGAAAATGAGTCAGATTGGGCTTTTCCGGAGAGGTCACGAAGGGTGTGGCCAGTGCGGGCAATGGCCTAAATGCACATGGAGGCTGCAAAAGGAAACCCAGGCACCACCGCACACATCAGCCCCACCTGCCCAACCTACCTCACCAGCACACCTGGAAATCCTGACGGTGCGACCAGAGGATTTTTTCTGCAAATAGGGCTTTCTAAAAATAACACATTTGATCGTGAGTAACGGTGCAACCCAGCGAAGAATGTTTTCCTTCCTGAAGAGTTATCAGTGGAACAGGTGGCTCCCTGCTGACCTCAAGTGAGAATGCTACGGGTACACAGCCCTGCATACCTCACCGCTAAAGCGTGAAGTGCGGTTTCACTTTTCGAGACTGCTGCAGTCGGCTTCCCACACGGCCCATCCAGCCACACGCTCACCCGACAAGACAGTGCGTGTACCGTACTGCATGGTTGCTGCTCATTATTTTATTTACCTGGAACTTGTAAATCCACTGCTGGATGAAGGCCTCTCTAATGCCATGTCTATAAGGGGAGATTATTTGCCCATACTTCATCCCACTGGGTAGTGTAGCCTGAACAGCAGGGGAGTGCCCTGACCCAGTTTAGATATCACTTACTGATGTTAGCATTGGCAGGGGATTGAACTCGACTAACTGCGTTCACAGCACAATGTACTAACCAGGCCCTACAGCCTTAACTCAGTAACTAAGCAGCCACCCCTGATCTACCATGATTACCACTTAACAATACTCCTTTTCCACTAGCAAATCCAAGCCGCGCAAGTGCCATACCAAGCCAGGCTGTCACAGGTCAGGAGATACAGGTAATTCTTCCATTGCAGATGCCCACCGCTAACATCACATGCAATGTGCGAAATCGAGAGGCATGTAAATGGCAATGTCACATGCGATGAACGCGTATTTAACACCGCACCTGGCCCTGCTTGGCCCCAAGGTAGATTCAAATGTCTTGTGGCCAACTTATCATGGTTTGGTTACAGCTCAGCAAGGCAAAAAGCCAGCGGAAATTAACCCATACTGTGAGGACCCACACTGGCTCAACTCAGATGTGCCAGTGGAAATAGGGTATAAGTGGACATCGCTGGGTTTGTGACTTCCAGACAATTACACAGATGGACAAACCTGATCATCGCGGCCAGAACACTCACCAGCAGCCCCTCGGCGTTTACTTCTGAGCGGGGGTCCTTGACCATCCCTTCCAGGCGGCCAAACCGCACATCCATGGGTTCCACCGTCGACATGACTGCGGGTCCAGGCCTGTTTATTGTGTTGGCACACTGGGCGACAACAACCAAACGTGGGGAGACACCCATACACATATCAATACAGAGATACAAACAGCCATAATCACGGAAACACAATATACAAATGCACACATTGACACACAGAGGCATATCCAGAGACACTGCACACATACATAGAGACACACACGTCAACATAGGGATATACAGCAAACAGAGAAATACCCACACAGACACACAAGAGGAACTGCAATACTGAGATATTGTATACAGAAACAGGAATATAAGATACATGCAGATATACAGTGAGAGAAAAAAAGTATCTGGTACCCTGCTGATTTTGTACGTTTGCCCATTGACAAAGAAATGATCAGTCTATAATTTTAATGGTAGGTTTATTTGAACAGTGAGAGACAGAATAACAACAACAAAATCCGGAAAAACGCATGTCAAAAATGTTATAAACTGATTTGCATTTTAATGAAGGAAATAAGTATTTGACCCCATCTCAATCAGAAAGATTTCTGGCTCCCAGGTATCTTTTATACCGGTAACGAGCTGAGATTAGGAGCACACTTTTAAAGGGAGTGCTCCTAATCTCAGCTTGTTACCTGTATTAAAGACACCTGTCCACAGAAGCAATCAATCAGATTCCAAACTCTCCACCATGGCCAAGACCAAAGAGCTCTCCAAGGATGTCAGGGACAAGATTGCACACCTACACAAGGCTGGAATGGGCTACAAGACCATTGCCCAGCAGCTTGGTGAGAAGGTGACAACAGTTGGTGCGATTATTCGCAAATGGAAGAAACACAAAAGAACTGTCAATCTCCCTCGGCCTGGGGCTCCATGCAAGATCTCACCTCGTGGAGTTGCAATGATCATGAGAACGGTGAGGAATCAGCCCAGAACTACACGGGAAGATCTTGTCAATGATCTCAAGGCAGCTGGGACCATAGTCACCAAGAAAACAATTGGTAACACACTACGCCGTGAAGGACTGAAATCCTGCAGCGCCCGCAAGGTCCCCCTGCTCAAGAAAGCACATATACATGCGCGTCTGAAGTTTGCCAATGAACATCTGAATGATTCAGAGGACAACTGGGTGAAAGTGTTGTGGTCAGATGAGACCAAAATGGAGATCTTTGGCATCAACTCAACTCGCCGTGTTTGGAGGAGGAGGAATGCTGCCTATGACCCCAAGAACACCATCCCCACCGTCAAACATGGAGGTGGAAACATTATGCTTTCGGGGTGTTTTTCTGCTAGGGGGGCAGGACAACTTCACCGCACCAAAGGGACGATGGACGGGGCCATGTACCGTCAAATCTTGGGTGAGAACCTCCTTCCCTCAGCCAAGGCATTGAAAATGGGTCGTGTATGGGTATTCCAGCATGACAATGACCCAAAACACACGGCCAAGGCAACAAAGGAGTGGCTCAGGAAGAAGCACATTATGGTCCTGGAGTGGCCTAGCCAGTCTCCAGACCTTAATCCCATAGAAAATATGTGGAGGGAGCTGAAGGTTCGAGTTGCCAAACGTCAGCCTCGAAACCTTAATGACTTGGAAAAGATCTGCAAAGAGGAGTGGGACAAAATCCCTCCTGAGATGTGTGCAAACCTGGTGGCCAACTACAAGAAACCTCTGACTTTGTGATTGCCAACAAGGGTTTTGCCACCAAATACTAAGTCATGTTTTGCAGAGGGGTCAAATACTTATTTCCCTCATTAAAATGCAAATCAATTCATAACATTTTTGACATGCGTTTTTCTGGATTTGTTTGTTGTTATTCTGTCTCTCACTGGTCAAATAAACCTACCATTAAAATTATAGACTGATCATTTCTTTGTCAGTGGGCAAACGTACAAAATCAGCAGGGGATCAAATACTTTTTTACCTCACTGTACCACATCCATATACAATACACACAGAAACATAAAAAAGTGATATGCACACATGGGACACCTCACACGATTCGACACAAACAGGCACGGTAGAGATAAACAGAAACACGGGGACAGCCAGAGGCGCACAATGCACAGCCGTACACGGAGCAAAAGGGGACACGCACACAGTGAGTCACGCACTTCGACATAACCAGAGAGATCCAGGTAGACAAAGACAGAAAAAAGACCACACCCAATCTGAGAGACGGATAAATTGTCAGACAAGGCTACAGAAACACGAACATACACAGACATACAGAAAGACACATCTGAAGAGATAGCTAGACCCACACATGAACAGACACACAGAAAGACACATCAGAAGAGATAGCTAGACCTACACATAAACAGACACACAGAAAGACACATCAGAAGAGATAGCTAGACCCATACATAAACAGACACACAGAAAGACACATCAGAAGAGATAGCTAGACCCACACATAAATAGACCACAGAAAGACACATCAGAAGAGATAGCTAGACCCACACATGAACAGACACACAGAAAGACACATCAGAAGAGATAGCTATACCTACACATAAACAGACACACAGAAAGACACATCAGAAGAGATAGCTAGACCCACACATAAACAGCCACACTGAAAGACACATCAGAAGAGATAGCTAGACCCACACATAAACAGACACCACAGTACACACACCCATAGACGCTGATACATAAGACACAATCATACAAAGACATGAGACATGGACACACACACAGGCGTTATATACAAAAACATAAACCGAGGAACAAATACATAGACAAAGAGGCATAGATTAATACACACATACACAGGGACACGTTCAGTTAGCACATGGCCAGACACACAAGCCGGCCACTCACACACAAACTAGGAGACAGGCGGGCCCACAGGTAGACCGGTGGTGATGAGGCCATAATTATAACATTGATGAGTGACTATAACGAGGTTGACCATAAGCGTGGTCATTTAGAGGGTGGGTTACCGTGAAGAGGATGGTCATGATGAAAGCCACCATGGCCATCGTGAGGCCTGTGACGACACTGATAACTGTTCAGATAACTGACGATGACCACGGTGACATTGGCAAAAGTGATGTTCAACGTGTGAGCATTATGAAGTTATCCACGACGATGATGTTACTGTATAAGCATGACGGTGATGATGGTGGTGGTGACAACAATCGTGACAATGTCCGCTGCCACACCTCGCCGGCCGCCTTATTCCGTCATCTCTGCTGCTGCTGCAGCTGTCGTCGAGGCTGTGGTTGTCGATACAGCTGCGATTGTAGATGTAGCTGTTCGGAAGAGGCTGTCGATGTAAGCTGCAGCAGCAGCTGTCCCTGTTGCAGGAGTGGTCGCTGTATCCGGAGCTACAGCTGTAGCTGTATCCCAAGAGCTGTAGCAGTTGCTGTAGCCGCCCTCCTCCTATACGGCTGTAGTTGTATGTGGGTATGGTTGTAGCCCTCCTCCTATACGGCTGTAGTTGTATGTAGGTATGGTTGTAGCCCTCCTCCTATACGGCTGTAATTGTATGTGGGTATGGTTGTAGCCCTCCTCCTATACGGCTGTAGTTGTATGTGGGTATGGTTGTAGCCCTCCTCCTATACGGCTGTAGTTGTATGTGGGTATGGTTGTAGCCCTCCTCCTATACGGCTGTAGTTGTATGTGGGTATGGTTGTAGCCCTCCTCCTATACGGCTGTAGTTGTATGTGGGTATGGTTGTAGCCCTCCTATACGGCTGTAGTTGTATGTGGGTATGGTTGTAGCCCTCCTATACGGCTGTAGTTGTATGTGGGTATGGTTGTAGCCCTCCTCCTATACGGCTGTAGTTGTATGTGGGTATGGTTGTAGCCGTCCTGTAAATGTGCTATGGAAGATTACAGCTGGACGGGGCTCTCGGAGTTACTGTGTATTGCGGAGCTATGGCTGTATCAGGCTGTAGCTTCAGTGTGTGGCTATGGTTGTAGAGATGCCCTGTATATGGATGTAGCCGTAAACTTTAACTGTATCAAGCAACTGCTATATCTGTAATTGTATAACACGATAAGATTACAGCAGCATGTGACTGTGTGTAGCCGTCCCCGAGGCTGTAGCTGTTCTATGGCTACGACTGTAGCTGAATGCAGTTGAGACTACAGCTGGGTGTAGCTAAGGCTGTGTAGTGTGTGTGAACTGGAGCTGTCGCTATACCCGAAGCTGTAACAGTGTAGCTGTGTGTTGCGGTTTGTAACTTTGTGTAGCTGTGTGTAGCGGTGTGTAGCTGTAGCTGTGTGTAGCGGTGTGTAGCTGTAGCTGTGTGTAGCGGTGTGTAGCTGTAGCGATGTGTATCTGTAGCGGTGCGTAGCTGTGTGCAGCTGTAGGTGTGTGTAGCTGTAGGTAGCTGTAGCTGTGTGTAGCTGTAGCTGTGTGTAGCTGTAGGTAGCTGTGTGTAGCTGTGTATAGCTGTAGTTGTGTAACTGTAGCTGTGTGTAACTGTAGCTGTGTGTAGCTGTAGGTAGCGTGTAGCTGTGTCGCTGTAGGTAGCTGTAGCTGTGTGTAGCTGTAGCTGTGTGTAACTGTAGCTGTGTGTAGCTGTAGATGTGTGTAGCTGTAACTGTGTGTAGCTGTAACTGTGTGAAGCTGTAGCGGTGTGTTGCTGTAGGTAGCTGTAGCGGTGTGTAGCTGTGTGTAGCTGTAGGTAGCTGTAACTGTGTAGCTGTAGCTGTGTGTAGCTGTAGCGGTGTGTAACTTTGTGTAGCTGTAGCGATGTGTAACTTTGTGTAGCTGTGTGTAGCTGTAGCGGTGTGTAACTTTGTGTAGCTGTGTGTAGCTGTAGCGGTGTGTAACTTTGTGTAGCTGTGTGTAGCTGTAGCGGTGTGTAACTTTGTGTAGCTGTGTGTCGCTGTCCCCGAGGCTGTAGCTGTCGCCTGTATGGGGAACTCTCGCAGGGAGCGGTCGGGCCGCCCACTTGCTAACAAACTACAACCAAACAACTACAGCCACAACTACCAAGGCAACTCACTACAACTCCCACACGAAGACGACGACGAGGAGGAGGAGACGACGAAACTTGGACGAGGAAGATGAGGAGACGAGGGTCCCCTGACGAGTGGATATCAAACAATGACGGTGATGATGTTGACGAGGAGGCTCAAGATGATGCTGTTAAGAAGGATGATGGTGCTGTTGTTGGTGAGTGATCAGGAGGAGAAGGAGAGTAATGAGGACGAGGATCAGGAGAAGGTGGAGAGGCTTCACGCCGCGGGAGGCGGGAGGCGGCGGCGCGGGGAGGGAGGCGACATTTTGACAAGATGGCGGCCGAAGCCCAGCGTGCCCCGCGCGGCCCTGCCCTTCCATCCCCTTAGCCCTGCCCTTCCATCCCCTTAGCCCTGCCCTTCCATCTCCTTAGCCCTGCCCTTCCATCCCCTTAGCCCTGCCCTTCCATCCCCCCAGCCCTGCCCTTCCATCTCCTTAGCCCTGCCCTTCCATCCCCTTAGACCTGCCCTTCCATCCCCCCAGCCCTGCCCTTCCATCTCCTTAGCCCTGCCCTTCCATCTCCTTAACCCTGCCCTTCCATCCCCTTAGCCCTGCCCTTCCATCTCCTTAGCCCTGCCCTTCCATCCCCTTAGCCCTGCCCTTCCATCCCCCCAGCCCTGCCCTTCCATCTCCTTAGCCCTGCCCTTCCATCCCCTTAGCCCTGCCCTTCCATCCCCCCAGCCCTGCCCTTCCATCTCCTCAGCCCTGCCCTTCCATCCCCTCAGCCCTGCCCTTCCATCCCCTTAGCCCTGCCCTTCCATCCCCCCAGCCCTGCCCTTCCATCCCCTTAGCCCTGCCCTTCCATCCCCCTAGCCCTGCCCTTCCATCCCCTTAGCCCTGCCCTTCCATCCCCTTAGCCCTGCCCTTCCACCCCCCAGCCCTGCCCTTCCATCCCCCCAGCCCTGCCCTTCCATACCCTCAGCCCTGCCCTTCCATCTCCTTAGCCCTGCCCTTCCATACCCTCAGCCCTGCCCTTCCATCCCCCCAGCCCTGCCCTTCCATCTCCTTAGCCCTGCCCTTCCATCTCCTTAACCCTGCCCTTCCATCCCCTTAGCCCTGCCCTTCCATCTCCTTAGCCCTGCCCTTCCATCCCCTTAGCCCTGCCCTTCCATCCCCCCAGCCCTGCCCTTCCATCTCCTTAGCCCTGCCCTTCCATCCCCTTAGCCCTGCCCTTCCATCCCCCCAGCCCTGCCCTTCCATCTCCTTAGCCCTGCCCTTCCATCTCCTTAGCCCTGCCCTTCCATCCCCTCAGCCCTGCCCTTCCATCCCCCCAGCCCTGCCCTTCCATCCCCTTAGCCCTGCCCTTCCATCCCCCCAGCCCTGCCCTTCCATCCCCTTAGCCCTGCCCTTCCATCCCCTTAGCCCTGCCCTTCCACCCCCCAGCCCTGCCCTTCCATCCCCCCAGCCCTGCCCTTCCATACCCTCAGCCCTGCCCTTCCATCCCCTTAGCCCTGCCCTTCCATCCCCTCAGCCCTGCCCTTCCATCCCCTTAGCCCTGCCCTTACACCCCCCAGCCCTGCCCTTCCATCCCCTCAACACTGCCCTTCCATCCCCTCAGCCCTGCCCTATCCCCCCAGCCCTGCCCTTCCACCACCCCAACCCTGCCCTTCCACCCCCCAGCCCTACCCTTCCACGCCCCGAGCCCTACCCTTCCATCCCCTTAGCCCTGCCCTTCCATCCCCTTAGCCCTGCCCTTCCACTCCCCTTAGCCCTGCCCTTCCATCCCCTTAGCCCTGCCCTTCCATCTCCCCAGCCCTGCCCTTCCATCCCCTTAGCCCTGCCCTTCCATCCCCTTAGCCCTGCCCTTCCACCCCCCCAGCCCTGCCGTTCCACCCCCCCAGCCCTGCCCTTCCATCCCCTTAGCCCTGCCCTTCTACCCCCCAGCCCTGCCCTTCCATCCCCTTAGCCCTGCCCTTCCATCCCCTTAGCCCTGCCCTTCCACTCCCCTTAGCCCTGCCCTTCCATCCCCTTAGCCCTGCCCTTCCACCCCCACAGCCCTGCCCTTCCATCCCCCCCAGCCCTCCCCTTCCATCCCCCCAGCCCTACCCTTCCACCCCCCGAGCCCTGCCATTCCATCCCCTTAGCCCTGCCCTTACACCCCCCCCAGCCCTGCCCTTCCATCCCCCCAGCCCTACCCTTCCATCCCCCCAGCCCTGCCCTTCCATCCCCCCAGCCCTACCATTCCATCCCCCCAGCCCTGCCCTTCTATCCGCTTAGCCCTGCCCTTCCATCCCCCCAGCCCTGCCCTTCCATCCCCTCAACACTGCCCTTCCATCCCCTCAGCCCTGCCCTATCCCCCCAGTCCTGCCCTTCCATCCCCCGAGCCCTGCCCTTCCATCCCCTCAGCCCTGCGCTTCCATCCCCATAGCCCTGCCCCTCCATCCGCTCAACCCTGCCCTTCCATCCCCTCAGCCCTGCCCTTCCATCCCCTTAGCCCTGCCATTCCACCCCCCAGCCCTGCCCTTCCATCCCCCCAGCCCTGCCCTTCCATCCCCTCAGCCCTGCCCTTCCATCCCCTTAGCCCTGCCCTTCCATCCACTCAGCCCTGTCCTTCCATCCCCTTAGCCCTGCCCTTACACCCCCCCAGCCCTGCCCTTCCATCCCCTCAACACTGCCCTTCCATCCCCTCAGCCCTGCCCTATCCCCCCAGCCCTGCCCTTCCATCCTCCCAGCCCTGCCCTTCGATCCCCTCAGCCCTGCCCTTCCATTCCGCCAGCCCTGCCCTTCCATCCCCCCAGCCCTGCCCTTTCACCCCCCCAGCCCTGCCCTTCCATCCCCCCAGCCCTGCCCTTCCATCCCCCCAGCCCTGCCCTTCTATCCCCTTAGCCCTGCCCTTCCATCCCCTCAGCCCTGCCCTTCCATCCCCCGAGCCCTGCCCTTCCAGCCCTGTCTTTCCATCTCCTCAACACTGCCCTTTCAACCCCCCAGCCCTGCCTTTCCATCCCCTCAGACCTGCGCTTAAATCCCCTCAACACTGCCCTTCCATCCCCACAGCCCTGCCCTTCCATCCCATCAGCCCTAACCTTCCATGCCCTCAACCCTGCCCTTCCATCCCCTCAACCCTACATCCCCTCAGCCCTGCCCTTCCATCCCCCCGGCCCTGCCCTTCCATCACCTCAATACTGCCCTTCCATCCCCTCAGCCCTGCCCTTCCATCCCCTCAGCCCTTCCCTTCCATCTCCTCAGCCCTGCCCTTCCATCTCCCCAGCCCTGGCCTTCCATCCCCACAGCCCTGCTCTTCCATCCCCTCAGCCCTGCGCTTGCATCTGCTTAGCCCTGCCCTTCCATCTTAACAGCCCTGCCCTTCCATCCCCTCGGCCCTGCCATTCCATCTCATCAGCCCTGCCCTTGCATCTGCTTAGCCCTGCCCTTCCATCTAAACAGCCCTGCCCTTCCATCCCCTCAGCCCTGCCCTTCCATCTACTCAGCCGTGCCCTTCCATCACTCCAGCCCTGCCCTTCCATCCCCTCAGACCTACGCTTCCATCCCCTCAAGCCTGCCCTTCTATCCGCTCAGCCCTGCCCTGCCATCCTCCCAGCTCTGCCCTTCTATCCCCCGAGCCCTGCCCATCCATCCCCCCAGCCGTGCCCTTCCATCCCCCCAGCCCTGCCCTTCGATCCCCTCAGCCCTGCCCTTCCATCCCCTTAGCCTGCCCTTCCATCCCCTCAGCCCTGCTCTTACATCCCCTCAGCTCTGCCCTATCCCTCCAGCCCTGCCCTGCCATCCTTTCAGCCGTGCCCTTCCATCACTCCAGCCCTGCCCTTCCATCCCCTCAGCCCTGCCCTTCCATCCCCTCAAGCCTGCCCTTCTATCCCCTCAGCCCTGCTCTGCCATCCTCCCAGCTCTGCCATTCTATCCCCCGAGCCCTGCCCTTCCATCCCCCCAGCCCTGCCCTTCCATCCCCCCAGCCCTGCCCTTCCACCCTCCTAGCCCTGCCATTCCATCCCCCCAGCCCTGCCCTTCCATCCCCTCAGCCCTGCCCTTCCATCCCCCGAGCCCTTCCCTTCCATCCCCTTAGCCCTGCCCTTCCATCCCCCCAGGCCTGCTCTTCCATCCCCCCAGCCCTGCCCTTCCATCCCCTCAGCCCTGCCCTTCCATCCCCTCAGCCCTGCCCTTCCATCCCCTTAGCCCTTCTCTTCCAATTCCCTCAGCCCTGCCCTTCCATCCCCCAGCCATGCCGTTCCATCCCCTTAGCCCTGCCCTTCTGCTCAGCCCTGCCCTTCCATCCCCCCAGCCATGCCGTTCCATCCCCTTAGCCCTTCACTTCCAATTCCATCAGCCCTGCGCTACCATCCTCTAAGCCCTGCCCTTCTCCTCAGCCCTGC